TTTTTGAAATACAAAACTGATTTAGCATGATCACATTTTAAACTATACATGTTTCCTAATAACAAATTTATAAAATTCAATCATGTACTCAAAATAGTATTGATTAAAAAAATATTTATTAGTAGGGTACAAATTTTAAAACAATATAAAATACAAAAATAATTCCTATTATAAATGAATAAAGAATTATAGAATAAATATTAAAAAGTATTAAAATGTGTTAATTTAATACATAGGCATCTTTCACAAAGTACATGAAATCAGTTTTCCAATCCTCAAGTGTTTTAATAATTACATTGAGAACACAACATAAGTATAATCAAAACCATACAAACAGTTAAATAGTAATATATTAAATTACATTAATTGTTACCATGTGTAATAGACAGTTAAATTTTTAAACGGGATTGAATAAAAGCCTTCTTTAAGATATTCTACGTACAAAATGTAATTAACTTTATTAGAATTAGACAGATGCTTTTAAATTCCATACACTATTTATTATTGATATATATATATATTACCAAGCACACATAATGTTTCTTGACGGTAGCGGTCGATAGAAGCTACATACTTGGATAAAACTACAAGTTCATCAGGACTAGTACAGACATACATTAGATTTGATAATAGATCTAAATTATCTATCCTAAATGGATCCATTCCCATAACAGTTTTAAACGATACTATTGCAGTAGCAATTTCTGTAAAAAATTGAAACTTGTTGTTAAAAGTTAGTTTTTGTAGAAAATATTAGTCAACCAATTAATATTTACCACGCTTGTTATGATGTGCAATAGCTAATTGGGCTTGCATATACGGCCAATCTTGAAAATCAGCATGGCCTAGCTTCCAAATATCATTGTATATATTTATTGCTCGGTCAGTTATTTGAAAATCAACATACATATGTGCAATAAAAAGAAGATGCATCCAGTGATGTTCTTTGCTTTCATTGAGTCGTAAGTTCAAAGCATCAAGCTAAAAAATTAACTATTTGAATAAATAATTGGAAAAAAATGTTTTAACGGGTTTAGTTATTTACAATAAATTTTTTTTAGCAATTACCATATGTAAGTCTTTAACTAGTGTTGATAGTTCTATCCAAGCGCCCCAGAAACATGGCTGAATTTGTAATGCTCTGACCAATATATCTATAGCCTCATCACATCGATCTATTCTTTTTAACATAACAGCTGTAAGCCATAATAAATAAGGGTCTTCACGTTTAATTCTAGGCTCTTTATGATCACCAGCAGACATACTATTTTCAGATTGAGCTGCTAATGCTGTAACTTTGACTTTTTTAGTAGTGTTGTTGCGTTTAGTTATCTTGTTTTTTTTCGCTAGGGTACTTGTACTAGCTTTTTCAATTCTTAAACTACGTGGTCTTCTACTGCATCGTCTTCCTTTGGGAGTGGAATCAACTTCTTGCTGTTGTATAGAGTGTTTTTGATTAATAGTGTCAAGATCAGATGCCTCTAGGGGTTGAGGTTCATCTTCAGATTCTTCATCAGAATCATCTTCACTGCCATATACATTGAGTATTAATAGTTCATCTAATAGTTCCATGTATGCTCGCATATTTATTGGTTTAAACGAATCAAATAAGTTAGTACGTTCATATATACATTCATTATGCATACTTAAATATCTAGCCATATAATGCAAAAACATCGATTTGCTGTTATTTGTATGTTTTGCTATGTGTGCACAGCTAAAAATATAATATTTAAAAATACATTAAAATAAATGCACATGTTACATAGATATTTAAAAATTACCTGGGATAATCTTCTAGATCATAATATGCACGAGCTTTAAAATACACCAAATAATCTTCTAAATTGGTAAACGCTGGTTCTAACTCGAAACGAATAAATTCATTATTTTCATTTTCATATTCAAAATATGGAGGAATATTTTTTAAAGTCATCATCAGTTCTGAGAGACTGTAAAAAAAAAAAAAATTTTGTATTATTATTATGTGTTATGATATAGGTAGATATCGCATTTATGAACAGTGATGTTTAACTGTGGCTGCTCTCGAGAGGGGATGTGTGAAATTACTGGTGTCAAAGGGAAAGCCAGTGTCATCCAATAAATTGCAATATTGTATAATGTCATGAATAATAATTTCAATACAAACACAAACATTTGTAATGTAAGGCGATATTGCAATGTTACGCTTATGAGAGACAACAAAATATTTTTGAAGAAATTATATTCAATTATATTAAATTTATTCATATTATTATATAAGGTCACGTCATTTAAAAAAAGAGTACTTACAATTTTGTGCTCTGGTGCAAACATCTGTCCCTGGATTCTTGTAAAGCGTAAATAAGTTCAGCTTTTATGAGCATTGGATCTTTGAAGAACTTCAAATAAGGTAGGTATATATTGGCCATTATGCAGATCTCACCAAATACGTTAAATGATTTACAAATTCTAATTTTATGTTATTTACAATCGTTCACACTACCTACATAATAAATTAATAACATTTATTATTTATAGTTGATTCGAGCCCGAGTAAAAACTAAAATCATGATTTCGTCGACGACCGTTGTGAATCTGTGATAACCATAGAGTATAGACTAAAGATATTGAGAATTTAGATGATAATTAGTATCTAGCCGGGCTTATCACCAAATAATAAATGCAGTCCATGGCTTGATAAAGATGTGATGCTTTAAGCAGTCTACGCCAGACCACAATCTTTTGTTCCAAAGTCAATTTGTGCGAATTAAATTAATACTAAAAATAAACGTAAGTATTATCATGTATTATATAGGTAGATAATAAAGGTATTTTGTTCTGAGAAACATAAAAATATTTGTCTCGACTGGGAACTTTCGAGCTTAGATCATATCATATTATATCATATTGTTCTATGATCATATTATTATTTATTATAAAAGATATAATATAATGATTCAATGTTTCGAGTGACGGAAGCTCCGGCTCAAATTTATTTTAAAAAAATGTCCTGATGACCACATGATTGTTTCACCTTCCTCAATCTATTCATACCTTAGCCCTTAGAATTTAGATCATACCTCATAAATAAAGTAATACAACATTTTATACAATTTTATTTTATGATCTAATATTTATGCCATGAATAAATTAAAAATGTGATGTGGACTTAACTCAAAGGTAAATGTATTTTAAAAAACACAAAAAAACAACCCACATAAAAAAAGCTTGTAAGTCATGGGTGCAGAAGCATTTGAATTCAATAATAAACCTAATATTTGGCATTGTATGCAAAAAAACAATTCTGAGTGGAAACAGTTTATCGGCCTAGGATATTTTATATTATAATATGTATTTTATTTTATTATATATTACTACGGTAGCCAGTAGGTTGAATTAATGTTATTTGCATATTATCATATTTGTGTGATTAAGTAACAAACTTATTTAATACCAATTTATGGGAATGTAAAAAAAAAACGAGAAGTAGTTTGTCATCTGTAGCTAAACGTAGGGAAAAAAATTCAAATAAATAATACAATTATATAGTATGTATATTGTATAAGAAGTCTGTCTGGTTAAAATAACTTTTAAAATTGTTATTAAATACAGATATGAATCCAATTAAAAAATATTTCAAATACATTTTAAATACTTTTTCTTAAAAGTATTTGGCAAGTAGGTTAAGTAATATATCATTAGTATAATAGTATGTTGCTGGCTTTTGTTATCATACTACCTACTTTGATCAAACCAATACCAAAAATTAAATTTAATATAAGATAATTTTAGTGAATTACTTACAGTGGTTTTCAACAACGATACTGTCTATACTGAAATAACATTTTTATAAAAAAATAATGTAATTAAAGTTAGTGAAATGTGTGAAAATGGCCATATTATAATGTTTATTAAGGGACTGTAATAGAGGTGTCAGAAAAGAAGTTGCCGTAAGGGAAAGGGTTTAATAATGTTAATAATTGGATAACTGGTTCTAGACTAACAATACACACAATTGTCCATTTTATATACTACTGGGTTTGATAAATGTCTTCTCAAAATTTATAATTAAACAATACATTTTTAAATTCAAGTTTTATGTATAAAAAAATATTAAATATTGCAACATTTTTTTATAATTTATATACACAATATATTTTTTCATTTTTATTGATTATTTTATTTATGGCGGGACGATAACAAACAAGAGTGGCAGGGAAATAAATTGTATATAGTGTACTGGCAGGGGGATAACGAACAAGCACCTATTTTTAAAAAAATTATCTGATCTGGACCCAACTAAGTTTTATTTATTTGAAATTCAAAAATGTTTTTTATGTGAGCTTAGATCTTTTTGCCACTATGCATATTATTATCTTCTTAATGTAATTAAATTTTCAAAATGTTTTAACTAATTTTAAGCCATTTATAGTTTATAAAACCTTTATAGTTTATTAACCTATTCATACCGTTTTTAAATACTAAGTTGGCACTGATTTAAAAATGAATAAGAGCTACTTATACTATACTAATTTATATATAGTAAAAAGATTTATTTTTTTAGCAATAAATAGCTCTAAATACTGCATTTTGAATAGAAAAATAAATTTCCAATAGCAATATTAAAATTGTGAAATAATAAAATATCCTTAGAATTATACTGACATTCTGTCTTTGCTCAAAATCATTATTCAACATAGAAAATGATTTATTATAAATTTCAAATTTAATACATCTTAATTATTTAGTATTCACATGTATTTGACTACAATCTAGTATCTACTATAAAATGTAAATTATAATTTATTGGGTACAAATAAAACATTTTAATGCATTTTAGTTAACGTTGTAATTATTTTAGTGTTTTGAACAATAAACTAAAACTACATTTTTTTTACATTTTTTTCTTTTTAATGTAATTAACTAAATATTATTTGTATACTTATAAAAAAAATTTATCAGTCTTAAATGTTTTAAATAAGAATATATTAAATATGAAATTATAAATGTTTTTTACATTCAACTTGAATTTGGTATGAGTTATAAAAAATATACATGGAGATTTCATTTTCACTTGTAATTAAAATATTACTTTGTTGAAGTATATTAAAACTGTAAAACGGTATAAATTTATTCTGGAAAACACAGAATATCTGAAAGAGATCGGATAGTGGACTTTCGATTGTATTGGTCTTCTGGAACAATTATTTCATCCCTGACAAATGTGACCATTACTTGCCTACAAACAAAAAAGAAAAAGGATAAATTATTATTGTACACTAATCAATTTATGAATAATACGTCCAATTAGTAAAAAAAACAAAAAGGCATATATTTTAACTGTTAACAATTGAATTTATATAAAAAGGAAACTTAAAAGATTTTTGAATAAAACTTATTAATTTATTATGTTTTGACTGTATTTTCTTACAAATATGTTAAAATTATTATTATTATTACATAAGATTTGTTAAAAAATGTTTATTTTTGTATTTTATACTTATGAAGTGGGTATGAGACATAAATTATGATTACTTTACCTATTTTCAATGATATCTTTGAATGCTTCACTTTCATCATATAAATCTCGATAGTTGTCATTTGAAACCACCACTCCATCACATTTATGGGCATAGTTGAGTATAATTCTATGAAATAATAATAACAACAGCGATGGTGAATGTAATTTTAAAATCAATTTACTGTAGTTAATCAGCTATACATTCATACGTCATAACTATTATTTTTTAAACCAAATTTCTCATAAAACAAGTTTATAGACATAGGACGAGACTATAGAGGCATTGTAGGGTATTCCTGCCCCCCCCCCCCCACCCAATAGTTGCATTTCATGAAAAGTTGCCAATTTTGAGTTTGTTAAAAAACAAAAGGCTATTGACAATTTACCAAAACAATCATGATGAAAAAAATTGTCAATTTGGTCATTGATGCACTAGCAACTAAATTATATTGATTCCTCATAATATAAGTAAATCGTCATTATCTTGTATAAGAGAAGATAACCAAGGTATTAAGAGGACGTTGCACAAACCTCATCATAATAGACATATACCAACAAAAAAAAGATCCAAATTTTAATAATCAAGTTGAAAATATTTTACAAAATAGAATTTTAATTGATTTTAGACATATTAATAAATATATTATTAGATAATCTTTTGAAGTGCTTGCTAACTATTTAATCCTTGTTTGATATTTTTAAATCACCAAAATCTGACAAAGAAAAAAAATACTTACGAAGCGGATCTTATTAAAAAGGCAATTTCTTTGTTTCCACTAATATGTGATATGGGCCATATAATTGACCTAGAACTAGTTGGAGTAGAGCTGAATAATCTAAAATAGTATAAAATCGAATATGGCAGATGAAAGATTGAATTCTTTAATGCATTTCAGTACAAAAAAAGATCTTAGTGACTGTTAGGTATTGGATGACAATGGTGACATAGTGGAAAGTGGAGTGTATTGAAGCAACAAAGAATTTCCGTACAGTAAATATTATGATAATATTGTTTGATAAGATTAAAGAATTGTTTCATGTTTACATCTATACTTTTGTTAATTTTAATTTCATATAAGTACAAGTGTTATCAAGACAGACAAACTATTTGTCATAATTTGTTAATAAAAACAATTCTCTTACTATAATTCTTGATATAAGGAAGTGTTATTTTTTTTTAGTCAGTTGGCAATATGAAAATAATTCATACCCTCATTAGTTTAGATCTAAGATCGTCCCTCCATAAACATTTTATGAAGAGGATTCTCAATCTTTAAAATTTGTATATTTATCACCGGGAAAAAAAAATAAAAAAAAAATTGTACATTAATATCATCTATCTGATCTGTGGTTCTAATATTTTGATGATACAAGTAGAGAAATAACTACATACAACTAATTCTAATAAGTTTGTTATTTATTAAATTACCGGTCATCATGACATGTCATCCTTAAGTTTTGGACTTTTCTGCTAGGTGTAAAACAAATTTGCCCTTTTTTATCTAAATTATTTAAGATGGTATTCGATTCAGACCCAGGTGGTCCCTGTCGATGTTGTGGAATGAATGCTATCACATCTTTATGGCCTCGATCAGTGAAAAATTGTATACATAATTCAATGCCTTTTCCTGAAAACGTTCCTGAACCATGTCTAGAGAGAAGTAAATTGTGTGATTTAATATTTTTAAGACAATCAAAAATTTATAAGTTAGATATATACATTTTCATAATGTAAGAAACTGTAAAAATATAAAAATAATAATATTTCTGAGAAATTCTGTTAATATTACATTAAACATTTTTTTTGGTTTTAATGTTTTCATAAGTTATTACTATCTTTATTGTAGTGAAAAAATTTATAATTTTAAGAAATAAAACTCACGCAAATCCAATATTTAAACCATCAATGATGATTGGTCGTAGCTTTCTATTAGTGTTAGAAGTTGTACCTTTTGAAGATACGTGTGGCTTGACAATTTTAACAGGTTTTTTATTTAATGCAATAAAATTCTGTGAGTTAGAAGACATTTTTTGTTTATCAATAATAAATCCTCCTAAGTTGTCACTCAAATAATTAAATTTAGTTATATTTTCTTCTTCCCATTTTCTTTTACGATTACGTAATGGACTATTATATGAGCTCTTAATTGTGCTGGTTGTAGGAATACCTAAACGCTCGTGTACAGATTTTAAACGACTTGGTTTAATAATTAACTGTTCGTTTGATGTATTTTCTTCATCACTTTCATCCGATATAGTAATAAGTTCTATAGACTTATTTTGACCAAGAGTAGGATCATCAATAATTTGGACATCATCATCATCAATCAATATTGTATTCCTTGGAAATTGTTTAGGGACATCCCCTTCATTTGCATTGCTCGTAATAGTAGTATCAGTAATATCTATTATTTCGTCATGATCAATATTAAGTCCTCTTTTTTTATGATCTACAGTTTGGGAGTTCTCAAGAGTAATACTATCAGTAGTAATATCAGTTATATCGATAATTTCATCATTAGTAATGTTGGATACTTTGGAAGAAACCGATTTTATACTTTCAAGCTCATCAGTAGAAAGTGAATTGTCATTATTACCCTCTGTTACATCAACCGCACTTGCATTAATTGATTCATTAATGTTTATGGCAACTGTTTTTGACATAATTTCATTGTCAACCAACTTCTTAGAAGACCGCAGCCGGTTTTTTAATGAACCTAGACTTTTCCTTTTAGTCTTTACTTTTCCCATCATATATATCTGTAAAATACTTTTAATACTAATTAATTATACCACAACATTTTACAAAGATTTTTACTTGATAAGTTATAAACATCTAATTCAACACAAATATTAAAGATATATTATTATCTTTGTGAATAGAATATAGTAATTATAAATGAAAAAAACATGAAGTTATCGGAATTTTTTAAAAAAATTTTAAATTAATGAGTACTAGAGAATTAAAATTAAGATTACCTAAAAGAGCTAACAGATACTTACAATAATTATTGTTTGTTATAGTGATTTTCTAATATTAAATATATTTAAACTATATTCTTCTAATAACTATTTACTAAGATAGGTACATAAAATATTAGACTTTTCATATTTTAAAATAGTTTACTCGTTTTTAGTTAATACAGAATATCATAAACCAATGATCATTTGTAAAGTGATAAGACTGGTTTAGCCAAAATATAGAATTAATAACAATATTAATATAGATTTTAAAATGTATACTCATTGGCAGTGGAATCCTCAGCTTTTTAAATAGCGGGGGTTGAGAAAACATCTCTGTGTGCAATATTGAAGGTATTAAAGATTAAGTTCACAGATATAAACACATATATTAGTGGTTGGATTGAAGCCTTAAAAGTTTGGTCTATATTTATTATGTGCACATTAATACATTATACACATCATGTTCGTAGATAATTCAGAAATAAAAATACATGGGTATATGACATATTCTCATCACATTCTTTGAGCACACCCTTACTCAAAGGTTGTAATTACCATAAATGAAAAGAATATTTTCTCACGTAAAATGAGAATTTATTATGTTGTCATCAAAACTCAAAAGAAAAGCTAATTATAGAAAGTAAGAAACTGAATTATATTTTTATAAATCATTTTATTGTAGAAAACTGAGTCCATACAGAATAAAAAAGTTGAGCTTTTGTTATGGTTGACCATTTTACTATGTGTGGACCTTAGATTACATACAATGGATGGAGCCAGCCCACTTGCCCATGTAAACAATTTTACACATATATAAGAGACGAGTCTCTGAATTAGATACTTGAAGTGCACATTTAGCTGTAGCACGAAAAAAGACACAACAAAAACTGAGAAGACGCGACCATTAGACTTTTGCATTGTACAAGCGAGAGCAATGAAAACCTCATTAATTCAGACCTCATTAGTCTAGGCTTCGCTTAATCTGGACAGCCGTTTATCATGATAGTTCATTATGTAGATTAAAATAAACATGAAAACGAGTTCAATTATAACAACTATGTAATATTTTTTAGGTTTAATATTGTTAGATATATGTATTAGTTAGACTTAAGTATTGTAAGTATAGTAAAATATCCAATACAATTTTTTTTAAATTTATAATTTACGATTCTTGGTTATTTTGTTTAATCTGGACTTTCATTAATTCGGACAACCTAGAACCCCAATTAGTCCGGATTAATGAAGTTCTACTGTACATCCAATGGCAAGCCAGAAGGGAATCTATATCATCAGGTCAATAGACACACCAACCGATGAAAAACATCATATTTTTGAGTTATCTTAGAGTAGAATCTCCTGTTAAACAAATTATAGAGGACAATAATTTTGAGGATATGAAGTATTGGTTTTATATTTTATTATTATTTCACTAAATATTAAATAACTAGGCTTTGTGGATGACCTAAACAGTATAGTAAAAGATATAGAAAGTGTGGAAAGAAACACAGAGGGCCTAATTAGGAATGCAAAGGCATTGCGCATGAAAGTAAATGAGGAAAAAACAAAAGTTATGGAAACCTTGGAAGGTGAAATAAGGGCACCTTAAGTCAACAATAATATCTTTGAAAAAGTAGAAACTTTCAAATACCTAGGAGCGAAGAAAAGGGGCTTGAAGAGCTGTAGAGCAAAATAAGAATTAGATAAATTAACTTTGTATTCGATATAACATTTTATTTTGTAAATTTAAATGATTTTTCATTTATTTTTAAAGAATATTTAGACAATTATATCCTCAAAATTATTCATCTTTATCATTTTTGTAATGGGTGATATAACTCTAAGATTACTCAAAAACACTTGAAAAAAAATTGTTAAATTGCATAAATGTGTTTGGTCTATGTTACGCGTAGGCCAGAGAGGGGAAAAAAAGTGAGAGCTGACAACCTCATAAAATATACGGTATAGCATAAACAATGTTAACCAAATCAGTCTACAAATCAAATCTATATTAGCTATTTAAGAAGCTCTGAAAAGAACTGATGGTGGTCCTTAAAAGGACCCTTTAGAAACAGTACTTGTTTTGAAGGCGGGGCATGGAAGGACAGTCTTACTTTAGAAAATATTTGAGAGTACCCTTTCTTATTAAATCGTATTCTTATTAAATCTTAATCAATAAAAGACATTTTGAAATTTAGATACGCGGATTTTTTTTATTACACTTTTGCATCCCTTCTAATTTTCTCTTAATCTAAGCACTGTTTAGAAAATGTTTTTAATAGATATATTAATAATCATAATGTATTTGAAAAAATTTGAAAACAATTATATTGAATGAATAATCAAAAAATGTATGTGTATTACTTATTATCCAACTCAAAATTAAAATCTAATTGAAATTAAAATAAATTAGTATGTTGTTCTCGCAATTTACAAAATATTCCAAGATATTAGGCCAAAGAAATAAAATATTTTTATAAACTAAAATTTTTTTTTTGAGAATTCTGTTTAAGTTTTGCTTAAGCCCTGCCATACCCCGCTGATATGTTATCTTTGTCTTACTAACTTACAACATAGTACATTTTTTGTTTAGCAGTGAGCAGAACCAATTTTGTATTTTTAGCTTTAACATTAGAGTGAATTGATTCAATATCAAATCTAATGGTAAGAATATTAACTAGGCATCCTGTAAGCTATTAATGATGTATAAATATTAAATTGAATTATGAGCATTTTAAAATTCTAATATTATACATAGTTACCTATTATAACTCACCTAAATATTAAAATACCAATAAAAGTCTATGAGGTCCCTTAGGTAATATTTTTACATTTAAGTTTGATATTAGGCTAATTCACTCTTAATATTAAAAATGATTAGCTAACAACACAAAACTATTTCTGCTCAATGCAAGTTTTCTATGTTGTATGTTTGTAATCTTCATCACTCGTGAGTGTGGGCACGTGGCTTCCACTTAAGTTTTACTTCCATAAAACTGAAAATAAAAATCTACTTAAAAGTAAATTAGAAATTTAAATTTAATAGTTTTATATATTAACTTAAGCTCATTGATATGATTATTGTTATGTTGTTATATGAATATTTTTGTTTTAGTCCCCAGTTTTAGTAGTATTAATCATCATACTATTATGTTCCTTTGATTTATAATATTATCATTTAAGGGTAACTGTACAACTTTAGGAAACTTGGCTAGTGATATTTTAAACTTGATAAGATCATATAGATCTGAACATTAAAAAAAAGATATATACATATAAAACGCTTGAAAATTCAGAGAGCGAGCGGCATGTAAACTATCTTAATTTTTAATTTTTTGAAATGTATTACCTGTATGTATTATGTATATATTTTATTACAATATGATTAAACCAAAATTGACTTTAAGGAAATTATTAATTGCGAATTAATTTATTAAAAAGAAATTATAATACAGAAGAATTCACATTGGCTAGGAAAAGTGAAATGAAAAATTTGCATTAATTGCACATTTTGTTTTTACTTGATAATCCTTTTTAATGAGCTAATAACCAACTTTCTAGCTATCATGGTTTAGGAGAAAAGTTAGAAAAATATTAAAACATTAATGTACAAATCCGCTTTAAAAAAGGTAAAATCATTTAATTTTCAAATATATTTATACATTAATACTCCAAATCCAAGTATCTTGTATTGCGATACTGATTTTTGAGTATCTTGACCAAGTGCCGAGTTTGTTAAAATGTGCATAAAAAGTTTTCAACTATTGATTATTGTAGATCAGTTGTTCTCAACCTCCTTTATTCAAAGCCCTCTTTGTAGATTTTCAATAATCTCACAACCCCCCTTGAAAATTGAAAAACTATCATATTTTTTATGTACTTAAGAAATAAACTAAATGGGAACTCAAGTTCGATTCGACATCCCAGTAATTTCTGTATTAAGTCTAAGAAAATTGTACAAGGACTTTTAATGCTTCATCATGAAAAATGTTACTTTGTGATAGCTGCTTGCCCTGCAATGTGTACACGCCCCCCACTCAGGTAGGGAAACATTGTTGTAGATAATGAAATTTTAGTGATAGGGGGTTTGGGAGGCAAAGCCTTCCATAGCTTTGTGAGGTATTTACAACTATGCCACCCCACGTATAAAAGGTCTAGTTGTACCTATCTACCTAGTACCTACCCATTACTTAATTTGTCTAATTAAAGACATTAAACAACAAAATGTACAGATAAGGAATTTCAAAAATTTTGCAAGAACCACAACCATACTTTATTGGATAAAACGGTTACCTAGGTATATTACAGAGGCACAAAATATGTACAATGTAAGAGTCAAAACTAATTTTTCTTATTAAAATGTCTACTTACTGGTTATTCACGATCCAGACGTATGTTTTAGGTCGACTTTTTAATAATAGAGATAATAAGAACTAACAATGAATTGTAGTCGTCTGTGGCTTACTGGCTTGTGGTAGTACAGTTCAGTCAGTACAAAACTACACTACTACAGAGTTCAGATTACCTCACGAAGATGTAACACGGCGGTAACTAGAATGTAAAGCATGAAAAACTGAAATTCAAATGACAGAAAACAGCTTATCTGGAATTTAAGAAACAACTTTGAATTGTTAGAATGCCAGCATGGTATTTCCAGTATCGTTATTCATTTTTCATAATCACTAATCAGCACAGAGTACGGGAGAGATAAGCACTTGTCCGAAAAATGATAAGAGTGGTTTTACGGCGGTTACGCTATGACCACGATGTAGAGAATCAATCTTCTCTACATCGTGGTAATGTTGCGTAGCAAGTCCAAGGATATTTTCGTTTTTTTTTTATCCGAGTAACGTGCTTGTTTCTCGTTAGTACTTACTACAACTACATCAGTACGTGCAAGATTTTCAAGAAGAAAAATTCGATACGTATCGATACGAAATAGTTACGTACCACCTGGTATCGGAGTTCGAGTCCGATACGGGTCGGTACGTATCGCTTGTATATTGCACGTGTAACATCTTGAACGTTCAAAATTGACCCGATACGTACCGATACACTCCAAATTCTTTCTTGAAAATCTTGGAGTTTACTATTTATTAAGTAGTAACACTTGTAACGTGCCGAGATGATATACTTGCAATAACTCGATTGCAGCCTCTCCACATACTAAACTTAATTATAATAATTTAAGTTTCAAATAAACTCTACTACACTAAGAAGTGATTGTACGATGCATTCGGCCATTCTCAGGAAACGGATTACGGAATGCACAAAAAGTCAAAGCGAATACCGTAGCCAGGATTTTTTCCGGTGGGAGGGGGGGATCAATATTTTATCCTATTTATACTCTTATTATAATTAGAACCAATAGTTCCTAGTAGGGCCCGGATTTATATGCATTTGCAATTTGCATGTTTTATTATAATAGTCTAAAAGTAGCTAGATAAACTACAAATTTGAATCTTAAGCTAATGTGTTGGTATGCAAAATTAAATGTTGCATATTTTTGAATATTTGAACCATTATAAATTTGTATGCATATTTTATCATTTTTCAAGAATATAATGCATATTTACCGAAAAAATAGTATTAAGTTATTAATGCTAATACTTAACGCTATGTCCTACGTAAATCCCGCGAATGTGGAAAGATATGATACAACAATTACAATTTATACAGTTACACGTATTTCCACTATAACTCGTTAAAATTAGATAAATTTTGCTTTAGGTACCTCTACGATCATGTATCGTCGCTAACGATCTCGATAACGAAAAACTATATAGTGATGAACTGACAGACCATATTTTATGATATAATACATAATATATTTATATGTTAATATTTTAAATCAATATTAAATGTAGTTCAGCAGTTGAGTGCCGGGGACGCAATTATGTCCATCGAAAAAGTGAAAAAAACTCAATGTTGGAAGAAAACATATTGAAAGCCGATTTAGAATTTATTTATTCATATTATGGAATACTAAAAACAGCCAGCTCGAGCTAAGAAAAGCAATGTCTTCCGTTAGCTGATTCTATTAAAATATATACCGGAAGACTATTCATGCAGTGATTGGTATACTTTAAGTATGCCCCAATATCTTCAACGGCTGTGTAGAACGAAGTTTTTCTCGATTCAAGAATATATTTGCATAAAAATCGACGTGCATTTTTATTTGAAAATTTATCCAAGTCTTTTAAAATGTCATTGTGTGTATACAATATAGTAATTAGTAATATACCTACTCGTCCTACTCTAAACGTTTCCTAAAAGTATCTACCCACAAATAGTACTATAAATTACAACAAATAACTAAAATCGATCGTGTATAATTGTAAATGTTGAGTTATCATAGTACATACTATTAGCTAATAAAAAAAAAAAAACTAAAATCATTGTTCTTGGTTTTAGTACCTATGTAATGCAGTGGATTTTTTTTAGCAATTTTCACTGGGTGACCAAAAATATATTTTCAATTAAATATTAAATAATAGTGAGATGGAATTATTTAATTCTCGTCTTCTCGTATTAATTAAAAATAAATATAACGCTAGAAAGTAGAAATAAATGATAGAAGTTAATAAAAATGTGTCATAGCTTATTTTAAAAAAGAGGTAATTTCAAGAAAGATATAATATTTATTTATTATTTAATAATTTTTTTTTTAAATTTAATAATTGTGTGTTGTATTTAGTTTACTAGTTAAAAAAAATAACTAAATATTAATTTCGTCCAAACTTGAACTTAAAAAACTATAAAAAAAATGTTTTCAGTTTTCACCATCAAAAACTTATGAATTATGATGAACTTTGTACTACACTTTATAGCTTTGTAACCTTGCAAATTTTTTAAATCGATATTTATTTTAAAAAAAACTTATAAAAATTGAAATTTTCATACACGCCTGTAAATTGCTGAACACGAGTCAAAATATTTTGAAAATGTTATGGTGTATAAATAATGCTAATGTGTATATACATCCAGTGAAAATGTCATATATCTAAGGCTATTTTTTTTATGGTCATAGACCAAAAACCAAAATCGATGTTGTAAAAAAAAAAAATTTTTCCCGTAGCTTTTGAAAAGTACTAGAAATTTTAAACTTTGGCCTATGAATGCACCAACTAGATTCACTTTCCCGAGGTGTAAGGTTAAGGGGTTAAGTATAAATTAAACTGAGTTGTTTTTATAGTCTTTAAATAATACATTAATTAGGGCGGGAAGGCAATGCGGAGGAGGGGTTTAAACCCCCCCCTCCTGGCTACCGCAATGAGTAACGAGGATATCAAGATCCTACGGTGCTCGGTAGTCACTGCTGCACTCAGAGACATGAACATATAATAGTTAACCAATTTTGTCATGCTCGTGGCTAAATACACATTTAAGAGCATTCGCCTTTCAGCCGTGGCCCGTGGGTGTACTGCACTTCTGCTGTACTGGTGTACATTTTTCTGATGCAGAGTGGCGAGGCATCGATGTAGCCAGTAACGCAGCGAGTGTCAGTAACGGACAGACGCCGTAGACGGTAGACCTGTACTGTCGTAGACCGTAGTGGCCGTGGGCCGTCACTCGTCACTCGTCAGCTAACTTATAATTGCTGAGCACGTCTTATTCCGTATAATAATATTATATTATTTTATGTATATATATATATATATAATCTATAAGGCTGTCGCAGTGCTGGTGGTGTGACGCGCCCGGAATTATGGTACAGCGTTCGCGGTCGGCGTGGAGGAGAAACGGAAGTCAACGATGGGTCGGAACAATGGCGTTACCGTTGTCATCGGTGTGGTTCAATGGACGGGCCCGTGTGATTGTGGATTTCAGAAATTGTGACAAGCACCCAGGTGACCGCCCACCGGCGCCTCGCCGACCGTACCGTATCAACAACACTTCGGCAAGGCCACCGCCGCGCAGCGCCTTTATCAGGTCTTCCGAACAGTGCCGCCGCCGCAGCTGTAGCTACTGTTTTATCTGTTGACCGGGCGACGGGGGTAGCAGCGTGCGAGAGAGAGAATCGTGAGCCGTCGCAGAACACCCGATCGGTGCGCACGGGCGGGAGCGAGATAACCGGGCGGTATACGGCGCCAGCGTGCGCGTGCGAGAGAGCGAACACCACGGAGAACTATCAATGTCGACCGTCCTTGTCTAATGTAATTCAATGGTGGACAAAACCTCCCGACGGAGGCCGCGTAATTTGTAAATATTATATCATAGCTTAAAAAAAAAATTTAAAAAAAATTACCATTCATAATATATATTATATACGTGTGTAGTATATATTGTATAGGTGTTGTACAGATATTTCGTGTTGTAAAATTTTGTAAAGTTCCGTTCGTCCGTTCGTTTTGTGTTTGTGTGCGTGCATGTGTGTGTGGTGTGAGCGAATGCTGAGTGCCGGCTGTGCGTTCCAGAGGTACTTTGTATAAATACCAATAATAATAATAATAATAATAATAAATAATACAAATAGATATAATTGAAACAATTAGTAATTAGCCATTGCCCAATAATATTGCAATTAAAAAACTGTCGGTTGATTAATATCAGTGTAAACAAATCATCTCTCGGTTATTGCTGAAAGTTTTCCATCGGTTCAATTGGTTCTTCGTTCACCATCCGCCGGCTATCGTTACAAGTGAGTCCACCAAATACCGGTGTAAACTAAATCCTTTTCGCCAGTGACTCGTCCCCATTTGTTCATCTTTGACGGACGTTCATTGCATGCAAACTCATAATATTATGATTTTATTTTAACTTCTCCCTATAGTCTAATACTGATATGAGTTTTTTTTATGACCTTAGTTCACTGTTTTGCTATAATTATTGTATAGATAGATTTGTTTATTGTTATTTACATAGAATATTTAAGTTGCTTTATTATTTTATATATAAAAGAAAAATTTAGATGGTTTTTTTTGTATAAATTAATATAGGCAGAGTTTAAATACAGTTAGTCATTTAAACTCTTCTTAATATTATGATCTATTACTCTTACTTTATAATAGGATCCAACATTAAAACATTTACAGTATTTAAAAATCTTGGCTTTAATTTATTAACTAAATTTTGTTTTAGTAATTTATATTGAGGTACATTACAGGCCCTATGAAGGTCCTTGGATTCTTAAAACTATGTAAAAATAATTTTCTTTATTAAAATGTTTTTGCTGTTTTTATGCTGCCATTGTCACTTGTACTTGGCTGAAGATCAATTGTGTATTAAGCACATGTAAAATAATTGTTGTTGCTAACCAGGCGGTCTCAGTGTAGAAAATTCAAAATTTACTACATGCCATGTAATGTTAGGACTTCAATATTTCAATTTTCAATTGTGAACTAAGATCTTAATTCATAATTTCAACATAAATTATTTATCAAAATGAAGCATATAATCATTTTATTACTATTCTATTAAATATTGTTGGGCACCTTCATAGTTATGTTCCAGACTCGAATTGTCTTACTTTTAATCGCAAACCTAAGAAACTAAAATGGTGTGTATGAAATATATTATATTTTGTCATCTATGTTGTTAACATTTTCATATGTACCTGAGTACTTATTTTAATACTTAGTGGTAAAATGTTCTGTCTATATGTAAGTCAATATGGATCTGTCATATATTGACAAGTATCTGTAAAAACATATGACTTGGTGACCCTTGTTATGCAGTTATATTTTATAATAATAATGAATATAATGTTTT